ACGTGGACTCCGTGTAACCAACGTTCGATTTTTCTTTTGTTTGTTGCATTTTTTTTTTTGTTCGTAGTTATCAGTTTAATTTTATTAAATCAATCACAAATCATCTTGTTAGAATGTTTAGGATTTTATTTTCGGTTTTGTGAATTTTGACGACTAGATAGTAAATGACGCTCCGAACAGTCTTCCTTTGAGAACGACCCGAGTCCGGATAGCTCGGTTACTAAATTATCCACTCACAAAAATACTGCAAACAAAATGGCGCCGTTGCCGGGGACGGCGAGTAGGACACCAAGTTTATTATCTAGTTGTCGTTCGTTTCCGTGTTTCGCTTCATTTTTGTGATTTTTGCTTGTTTATCGTGTTTCTCTTTATTTCTCTTATTTTTATCTCGTTTGTTAATATTTTGTGTTTTTAGTTCGTTTTGTTATTTTTCTTTAACCTCGTGTGCCTTTGGGTTGTTTTTCTGGTTCTTGTGCGAGGTATTGAATTTGAGGAGCTCGCATGGACCCTTATTTGTATTATTATGCCGAGAGCTCGTCTTGTGGATACCCCGACGAATACCAAGGAGAGATGTACGCTTATGGCCCGAGCCATTCTTATTCCACGTCCCGAGGCACATATGACTATCACTACCCGGTCTATGACGAGATGTCTCACTACTACCCTCCACCTCCCGGTTACTTTGATGCTAGACCGTCACCCGAGCAAACTCGGACTCCTCCAACACAATTAGACGAGATTATGGCAAAGATGGAAGAGATAAATCAATCCGTTCGTGCTTCAATGGTTCCCTTATCCGAGAGAGACGAAGCCGAGTCCTACATTCATACCTCTCCGTTATTTGAGCACCCGTCGATTGGCCAACCTTGTTCATCTAGTCCCGGAGCTTCAATTCATTCCAAGGTTGGGCCTATCGATTGTTACCAAGAGATTTTGGCGAGTACTCAAGAGGCCCTTGCGAGCCTTATGACGATCATCGAGGAGTTTCACAGTTGGAGGTGCATTCCGATTCCATCCGTTCTTCCACTTTCACTCACGAAGTTCGACTCCACCGTGGTGTCCTTTCTCGACTTGGACACATCTCATATCCCGCTCGGTAGATATTCCTCTCTATCGGCAAAAATTATTCGAGAGAGCACTCGGTTGGAGGGCGAATTTCGAGTTATGGTGGATCAATTTGCGTCCTTAAAAGAAATGAGCCTCACTATTGTGTACGATGGAACACAACCTCTCGAGACGGGTGAGGACATTGACGAGCTAAGTGTTAAAGAAATTCCTCCTATTGACGACGTGGCCTTACAATCTACGATAGGTACGTCAAATCTCTCTTTTGTTGATGGTGCATTGGACTTTGATTCGATTATTGAGGAGGATTGTACGGATTCGGGGATTGATGTTGTTGATGGACTTGGGAAAAATTTGTTTGATGATTTTGATTGACCCGAGTGGTGATGACGGTGTTGGTGATGTTGTGGAGGAGTGTGATGATGATGTTAGTAGTGAGGAGGACTCTGGGCATA